CGCTACGGGTCTTACGACTGCGCCTTGTAGACCTTTCCCTTCCTGTAATGTTGCTATTAAATGTTCCCCTCATTAGCGGTGTTGTCGTGATAAATGTTTCATTACGTTTTCTCGTAATTACCACCTCACATTCTTATGAATTTTTTATTTAATTTTACATTTTTACACTGTTATTTTAATGCCATTTACTTGGCGCTTATTTCCTTGATTGAAGAATAGTTATGAAGCAAGTTTTAAGTTCGATGAATAAGCAGAACAGCAAAAATGTCAATAAATCGGTGAAATACGTGGCAACACCGCATTGTGCTGAATTCTAAATAGAAATGTAATCCAGCATCGGATTGTCGATGTGCTATTTAACCTCAATCAAAGGCGAGGTCAGAAAAGATGCTCAAACTTTTGCAAAAAACAGAATTATTATGCATCTTAGCGACAATTTTGCATGTGGAATTATGAATTGTTCATATCTAAAACACGATTTAGCAGCAAATACTACCGGACAATCCCATTTTCGTGCATTAATAAGTGGTTTTAGAAAAGCAAATTTTAAAAGCTTGTGAGTGTTTTTTGGCTTAATTTATGGACCATCCAGGATAATTTTTATTGAGAGTGCTTAGTTTGAAGTTTTCTTTGAGGTAAGAATAGACAAAACTACAATTTCGGAGGGACTCAAAAGACAGGATTACCTCTATTTTATATTAAATAGTTAAGTATAATAAATTATTAGTTTACATGAAAAGGTTAAGGAAGTGGTAATATAGTATGTACTGGCAACTACGCGAAAACTTCAGACTAGCACGCCGGCGCAAAGAGCTGAACCATCATGTCAACCGTTGTTTTGTTTTTAAAATTGGTGAATATCAGAAGGTGAAAAGTGGTGGAAAACGGCATTCGGTCGAAAAATGTATAAGAAAAATGTTGTTTGTTATGAGATTTTCTATAACGTAAGCATAATCTTAATCGGCAAAGCGGTATTTCTAGTATCAGATCGCGAAGTAAAGCATTACCTATATTTTTACAAACAGTAGAATTAATCCAAGGACACGTTCGCCTGGCCGCTACGGGTCCTACGAATGCGCCTTGTAGACATTTCCACCTTACTGTAATCTTGCGATTACCACATTAAATTCTAATAAAAAAAATTATTAAAAATTTTAACGCTTTTAATTTAATAACATTTACTTGTCACTTATTTCAAACTAAACAAGTATAACACTTAATACCCTGATCGCCGACCCTTTTTTGATATTTTCTTGATGTGCTACGACTATACAGGGTGAGTTTTTTCGATGACCAGTACAGGGATTTTCGAAATTACAGCAGTTACGAGAAAGGTTAAATGGACAAAGATTTTTAGTTTTGAATGCTCTACTCAAAACAAATTTTATTTTTCTTAAATTTGACAGCTCTCAAGAGATATTTGGAAAAAACTTATTTATGGTAAATTTTTAAATTACTCCTAGTTCCGTTGATATCAATTTGACAGGAAAAGTTTAAATAGAAAACTTGTTGGAAATTGAATTCCAAACGAAATGTCATAAGACATTTCTCCAAAATAACTGTAATTTTTGATATGACACAAATTTCAGTTTTTTTTTAATGGCAACCATACTCGAATATTGCTTTGCCAAAAAGAGCATTTTATTACGATTTCTATGATATATCACATCGTTAGGATTTTTTCGGAAATAAAGTGTCTGGGACCAGTTTATACTTTTTCAATTTAGTTAATAGTATAGTATTGTTTCCACAGCAACAAATAATAACATATTTGAATTTTTGACATTCAAGTTTAAATTCACCTTAGAAATCTAAGTAAATTTTATCGTAAAAATAAATTATTCCAATCAAGAAAAGCGCGATATGATTGAAACGTGCAAGATGTGATAAAAATGCTAGACATCTTCTTGAGAGGTATTTTTATCACACACAATTTGGGCACTTATGGAAGTTTTACGCAGCCAAGAAAGAAGGTAAAGTAATAAATGAAGTTGTGGAGGTTAATATCTTGGCCATTGTAACCCAGAATCCACAGATTTCAACAAGAGAAATCGCAGCAGAATCCTGGACTTTCCAAAGCACCGTTATGAGAGTTAAAAAAAAACACAAATTCCATCCGTATAAATTATCAGTATCCCAAACTTTACGTCCAGGAGATGATGAGCTGCGTGTGCATGATTTTGTACATGGTTCCGAAACAAATGCCAACAAGACAACCAATTCCCTTATAAAATATTGTGGACCGATGAATATCAATTTACAAATTGTGGTATGTTTAATCCACCCAATGAACACCTTTGGAATCAAGCAAATCCCCACCACTTTGAGCAAAGGAGACCACAAACAAAAAATTAAATTGATTTCAAGTAGAAAATTCGAAACTACAATTCTTTGTCCATTTACACTTCTTCGTAACTGCTCTGGTTCCTAAGATTCCTGTACTAGTCATTGAAAAAAACTCACCCTGTATGTATATCAAATTGAATACCGATCCGGCAAAGCAGTTCTCATAAGTACCCACTTTTATATAGACTAATTGAAAGATTGTTGACTTTCTTGGAGATTCGATCTGGGCAGTGGTGAAGAAGAAAAAGAAAAACTTTTTTAGCTACGTAGCTTTCGGCGATTTATTACCGCCTTCATCGGGGCTTGAAGAGGTATTGCACAAATTTAAATCAGATATGTGTTATGAAAAAAAAACTTAAAAAACAATTACAAAGTACTTACCGCTAATTGTTTGACACAAGGAGGCTGGGAACTCTCCGGAATATTCTATTATTGTTACAACTTGATGAAATACTTTATCTTCCTCGCTTTCAGCGTATTACGAGGGCGAAACCATTATTACAATTGTTTAACAGAATGACATTATTTGGTCATCATTCACGATTAAAATGTTTTCAGCAGACATAACGAGACAGACTGCACTAAATGCAAAGTGATGATGAGCTGAAGGCTCTGAACATTGAATTGATTTAACTTTTCACCACATTTCAATATTAATCGCAACCGCTATAAGTACAGAATTTCTGCAAAATTTTTGGGAAGAATTGTAATGGTTTCGCCCTCGTAATACGATAAAAGCGAGGAAGATAAAATATTTCATGTTGTAACAATCATAGAGTATTCTGGAGGGTTCCCAACTTCCTTATGTCAAACAATTAGCAGTAAGTACTTTGTAATTGTTTTTTAAGGTTTTTTCATAACACATGTCTGATTAAAATTGGTTGAATACCTCTTCTAACCCTGAGGAAGGCGGTAATAAATCGCTGAAAGCTAGGTAGCTAAAAAGTTTTTCTTTTTCTTCTTCACTAATAGGGACGATACAATACTGAGAAAGTACCGAGACTTACTCAAATGAGTAGTAACTAAATTGTCTTGCAATACTGCTCATATCAGTATTCTAAAAGTATCAAAACCATTACCTGCTCACAATTTTATTGACTGGCTCGATATTGAGTGACTACGTATGATCGTCATAAACACATTTTAAGTATACATTTTCGATGAGTTTTTCAAGACCAAAATTCACTATTACCGTGAATTTTAACTGTAAAAAAGCGGTTTAAAGAAGGTATTGTAATAAAATCCATGGAATATATTTTAATGCATTTATTGCCATAAGGTAAACAAACAAAATATATTTCTAAAGGTTTCCCAAAAACACCAGTTGCGCAAGTATTTAGGGGACAAGCTTTTTCTATTGTGCGCCATAGCAGTACCAGCTTTAGGAAATAGACATTCACTTATAAAAGTTAGGAAATACCGTTTGCACTTTTCAATGGTTATTATTCAGTTCCATATTGTTTACATCGTCAATAAGTTTTAAAACTGACTATTCAGAACCAATAATACGAATTTTTTAATTAAACGCACATTTTCACGAACCTTAGATATAGCTGTTTTCGCACTTGGTCATTTGAAAGCCTCTTCAACAATGTGATTTATTGTGTGAGCCAACCAGTGCAAATAGTTCATTAAGCGTAGGGGTAGCTAGATAGAGCATATTCATTTTACTATTTTGAAGAAAATTACATGTCAGACCTAAGAAACCTCGCTCGTTCATTGTTTCTGTCCAAATGTCCAATTTGAGACAAATATAATCTTTGACAATTTAGCTTTAGCTATAGCTACACAAGCTTCATGTTTTTCTTGGGTCATCTTTTTTAAATAAGCTGCACTAGGTAAGTACCTTAAAATTAGGTTGAAGCATTTTCCGAAGACGTAAAAATCCTTCTACTTCCCCAATGTTGGAAGGCCGCAAATAATTGCAGACCAAAAACGCTAAAGCCTGCACTATTTTGTTGTATTTTGAACCTTCCTCCAAAATAGATATATCTATTATATCCAATAAAGAAAAAGTACTATAAATAATGTGTTTACCGTACTTATTTTATTTAATGGCCGAAACTTGTAAAAATGCATCTTCTAAAGTGTTTTGTAGATGTATGTTATTATCCGTACAAGCATCAAAAAAACTTTTCCTTCAAACAGATTTTCCAATTTAGAACAGCTTGATGGCTGTGACATATCCAACTCAAGTTCTTCAATAGACTTTGTGCAGTGTTTACACTTCTGACAATTCGGTTCGATACGAGTACTTTATTTCGATACCAAGTATTTGTATCGAAAGAACGATTCAATTATCAAAGTACACGGTATCGAAATCAAAAGTATGGAATACCTACTTGTATTTACTTGTATCGGATCATCCCTATTCACTACTGTCCAGACGGAAAGTAGGTTGTGGGTTCAAAAATTCTCAGTTCATTTATTTTTGAAGAAACCGTAAATAGAAGTCGCTATCTTCAATTCCTTCGGAATGATCTGGAGATTATATTGGACGATTTAAATTTAGAAACATGGCGTAATGTGCAATGGTTTCAACATGATGGCGTTCCTCTGCAAATTTTCTTCAAAACCCAAATCACCTGGACTAAAAATTTCCTGCGCATGAATTGGAAGAAACGGTATTATTTTATTACCTCACTATAACAAGTTCTTTCAGATATCGATTTAGTTTTGTGGGGATTTCCAATATCTGGGAAGTTTGTAGAATAATGCGTTTAGGTCAGATGAAGAGTGATTGGATGCATTGCACCGCCGGCATAAATATCAGAACTTCAAAATGACCGAAATCAACTAATTTGAATTGGTGATGGGAATCATCTCAATGGATAATTAACCAAGCACTTATGGGATTGATCAGCAGAGTTAGAGGACACTTACTCTATTCCCGTCTGTGATAGTAACCAATCCAAAAAATGTTACCAACAATAAACTTTACGTCGTAAATGACAATAAAGTTACAGTATCTGCATATCCAATAACTAACTGTAAATTTGATCTAATGTCAACTCAATATTCATATTTCGTTCAATGATCTCTGTTTTCCCGTTTATCAGTAGTTGTTAGGGTACACTCGGTAATATAAAATATGACCACTGATAACAAAGACTCTTATCGGTCGTGTTTTCCCCAATATCTGCCCAAAAATGTGACGATAGTAGCCTGGCTGGAGATAAATCCTTTCAAAGTACCTTTTCATTTTTAATATTGATTAAATAGTGTTATCTGTACGGTTCCATCAGTTAGTTAGGCCGATGTCTAAAGAAAATGCTACCGGAAATAGAGAAGATGCAGCAATCTACTCAGAAATTGAAGAATCTTGTGACGTGACTGCAGGTAATTGTGCAGTTGTTTTCAAAGTAGTGTGTTTGTTAGTGATGAGCTTTCCATGACGGAAGGTGCTTAACTGGTCCGGAGCATCGTTGGAGATAATATTTAGTGATTTCTTAGTTGAGCGGTGCGGTAATTGAAAAATAATTTTTATATTATGTAGTGTAAAAATCAAACTGTATATTTTATTTTTGCTATAGTGAATCTCGTCAATATGCAAGTTTCTAAAATGAAACAGTTGTTAAGCAGTGAGTTAGCTGCTATCGTTAGTGTCATACTTGCAATAAAAAAGTGCCCGCAATACGTCTTTGTAGATTCATTCATTATTTTTAATATCTAGTTAAGTATAAAGTTCCAAAGCACAGCGCGATATATTATATGGGCAAACCACCGAAAGACGTTTTTCAAACTCAATGGAGCATTGTTTCTCAAATGTTTAACTTTTTCGAAAAACATGAAATTATTAATATTAAAAAATAATTGGTTTCATCGCCTTTACCTTCAGATTATCCAACGTTGTTATATTATGGTAGTTCAGAATTATAATTGCACACATTTGAAAAATTTTCGAAATACCACCGAATCCAAACGTTGCGCTAACTTAGCCCTTG